CTCAATAGCTGCGGCAGTCAGGTCGAGGGCGAAGGAAGTAGGGAATATGAATCTGATCCCTGGTGCTGCCGCACATACCAGATACATTTAGGGATGGTTTTTCGACCGTATTTGATAGGTCCGTAGTAGTGATAATCAATTGTTCAGACATCAGTGTATGTGTAAACGAGGTGACCATCATTTTCCAACCCATCCTTACTCACTGGAAGACACTATCGCATTTTCCATACATCCAGTCGTATGGGCGAGGCACATTAATGAATCTCCAATCCTATTGAAGATGGCACTAAGACATTAGCCTCAAACACCCTAGGAATAGGGTAACCCGTAGGAGAGGAACTCTGGTTTATCTGACTGATCCCTTTTTCACTTCTGGTATGACTACAACCTGTGGAAACGTTCCAGACACTGTACACTGCCGGTCTCCAGAGCACTCATGAAGGTTGCAGCCTTTGGCCGGTATGTCACATGCCACTTGTGGCGGACGACACGAGAGAACTGAGATGGAAGACAAACGAGGAGTTACAAGCTTGCGATAGGAACATTCGTTTTCCACAGGAACAAAAAAATACCGATATGGTTGCAGATGCCCCTTCAAACACAAAAGACATTTTGACATGGCAAATAGGAGTCATTATTATACGAGGGTGGGATTCCAACGCTTCTAGAAGAAACCGTCACGGGTATCGAGCCTACTCTCGACAGTGACGAGAAACACCAAACAATTCGCCGAACAGTTGACTCCCAAGCATGGCTTACAGAAAATAAACTGGACTGAACGCATTGCATATAAGTACGGTAAAGAAACGCTGCGTTCGTGCTAGTTGAAGGATCAGGTGATCCGGAGAAAAAAAACCACTTCCAGCCAAAGATCTATTGGACTGACAGTGAACTGTAGAATTGTGCGTAACATTCACAGATACGTTCTTCATCCCGACCAGCCTTCTAACATGAGTGTTCTATTTTTTCAGGTTTAATGAAGTAGGTTGTTGTATCACGCACTGACACTTCATGGAATGATCCTGTAAAGATGACTGAAACCATATATGAACATACATGCAATCCACAGTGTCCAGACTGCCCACTAGATAAATGCATGGATCCTGGACGAGGTCCAACCTAAATCAGGCTAAGAAAAGCTTTATGCATCCGAAGGCGAATTTTTAACCTATGAAAGGTGCATTTTCAGGCAATGGGACCAAACCAACTGTGTACGATGGGTAAACTTACGATAGCAAGTCCAAGTGCACCGACTGGCGTGTTTTGGATTACAGGGGGCGGCTCGGTCCCTGGTCTGATGGTGCGTGATTCGGTCATGTTGACACCGGATGAACTCTAATTGGGGAGTGGGGTGACACGAAATGGTACACACAACGGGGTTAGTGGGTGGGTAAACTTACGACAGCAAGTCCAAGTGCACCGACTGGCGTGTTTTGGATTACAGGGGGCGGCTCGGTCCCTGGTCTGATGGTGCGTGATTCGGTCATGTTGACACCGGATGAACTCTAATTGGGGAGTGGGGTGACACGAAATGGTACACACAACAGGGTTAGACTGCGTTGAGTGGGATACAATTGGTAATCATCAGCTGACAAACCATCTAGCTAAGCATATCGAGAGCATGAAATTTGGAAATCTCAATGGGTGTTTCTCGCCGCAAGTGAAGGCAGTCAACGCTAAAAGGCGTTAATTTAATGTACGGTTGTTTCATTACATAACTAGGAGCTCATGGTAGGATATCTAAAACCGGACTTTTTTGCGACAAAGCTTAGCACGACACGACAGTTAATGTACGGTTGTTTCATTACATAACTAGGAGCTCATGGTAGGATATCTAAAACCGGACTTTTTTGCGACAAAGCTTACTCTTGCACGACACGTAGAGTGTGGTTAGTTCGTGTGCCGGAGACGATAAAGATGCGAGTCGAGTCGAGTTCTTACCACTGGGATGCTCTTATTAGTTCAACAACCAGGACCAAGGCTATGACCTACTCTTCCTGCTTACAAAATCCTGACACCACTCAATACAATGACTGGAGTACCTTAGGGTTAGATGTTATGCGCACAATCCGATAGGCACCTGAAAAGTCAAAAAGCGCTCCGTTTCCTGTAATTTCGAATTGAGATAGAAGAGCATATAGCGGTTAACAATCTGAACCGTGGGTCCATCCACCCTAAGCCGTCCAAAAGGGATGCATCAACACCAGTAATTCAGACCGGTTACATCAAGTGAGATGCTAGCAGGTTGCGCTACACCGATCGTCTTTAGGAAGATATTTTTACTGTGATGAACAAAACGACCGACTTGGTGAAAAGTTGCTGCTCCTTTTCAATACAAGGAAGCCACCATAAGCAGAGGTACTTTATGCTCCTTCACGTGTACGTAGCACAAGGACAGGGGGCGGCAGCCTATCTAAGGTTATCCACAAAAGACTCGTCGGCCGCCCGAAGAAACTCTTGGTGACTACTTGAACATTTCAGACCATACCATTAGCCACGATGAGGAAAGTTATCGGGTTACACAGCTTTGGTCGAATCTCTTTTTAGGGGGACGAATTGGGACTCGACAATGATTATGCAGGTGCAACACTCTCTCTTTGGGGTGATCTCTCGGGAAAAAAATGTCGGTCACATTACACCTGTGGTTTGAATGATTAAATTTGTTGAATAGAACAGCAGAAGGTATAAATTTCGGGATGGAATCTTTCATTTGTTTTTGTCAGTCAAAAATGTTAGGCAAGCAGTTCATATTCATTCAGACGCATCCCGAGGTTTACCTTTCAGCTTCGCCGTTTAACTGCAAAATAGCTTGTATCTCATGAACGGCCATATCGTCATGTTTAGAAGGCTGTTATGGGTAAGGCCGATAGAGAGACAGAGAGAGAGGAAGAATCCCATCATGCAGAGCGGAACGTTGTGTCAAGACGGCATTGATAGAAGATCGTCTGTTAACACGCGAACCAGGAGCTCGAAGGTATTCAGATGTCGGTTATGATTGCACACTGGGTTTCCGAGCTTACCTCTGATTAGATATTTGACAGGGTTAGTGGCAACAGCTTCCTTACATCCCCTGCCGCATTAGTCTCCTCAGTTTCTTCAGCTTTCTGGTTCCACCAATCCTACCTGTGTGCACAGAGGTTTCGTTGCAGCTGACAACCAGTCTCGCCAATTTGTGGTAGATAAATCATCTGGCATCAAGAAGCAACAGCAGCTTTCTAAAATCCACTGATCAAAAACACCAGATACACCAAAATAATAAAATTTCAGTTACACTCGTAGCGGCTTTAATTTCTTCCCAGTTGCCATTAATGTCTTTGGAGGCCAATTTTCAAGCAGTGTTGACAGTTGTACTAGCATTCCTCCACCTGGGATCCAGAAACCCTGTTGAATCCTTAAATGGGAATTCGCTTCCGGAGTGTACCTGGGAAATTCAGTCGGCCTACACCGCAAAAAACAGCCTCGTCAGGAGGGATAGTGACTCCCATATTGACCTAGCACCATGTTCGCTCAAGAGGAAGGAAATGCCACATAACATAACGGCCTTCACGGCGTCTAAATATAACACTGCTGAGAAATAGCTCGATTTCAACAAGATGTTGTAGAAGAGGTTCACAATTACCATAAAGTTTAGGGTTTAAATTATACTTGCCATCGAATCACATCTCACACAAACCGAAGCACCCTATAGTGCGCAGTGAAATCTCCTGCAATTAGGAGTATACATGAAGTATTCAAAGTGGACAAACGTACCTGCCATTGGTTTGAAGGCATGTCCGAGTATCACGAACAGTCACGTGGACTCCACTCTGAAAGTTGCACGTCACATACAGCACCCAGATTCTTCGTCGCCCCATACAGCCTTCTATTCCACCAAATGGTTCAAGCCACTAAATCTGACATACCCACACATTATCCTTCTTCGTAGATAACAATGCACAATGGGCAGCATATGACCCGATGACAGGAGCGTGAATTTGCAAACGTGACCCCGGATTTTGATGTTTGCGTGTCACGTTGCCACAGGGGTCAAGGTAACGTCTGAGGTAAGCGGTATTTCTCAAGTCCCTTTTGAATGACCCGGTACATGTTCAATGACTACATACCCCGAAACATGACTTTACACTTTATGAGTGTGAAACAAACGCCGCAGTCAATCAAAAACACTTGACCATTCTCATTTTGGAAGACAATAACATGTCGTCTGCATTTTCAGATGGAGAAGGTTGTCACTAGCGCATTAGTTTGGGAGACTGTTAGGGACCTTGTCTTGATATCACCAAACAATAAATCAAACAAATGTGCGGGGAATGGACACGTCTGTTTGTAGAGAAGCTGGTGAAAAGATTCTCGTCCGATCTTAAACGGGGAACGCTTGTAAATATGATCATCACTAGGACTAGAGACAACCCCGATTCATAAGCGTTTTAGGAACACCCGATCAGTCAACAAAATTCAACGCGACTTTGAAAAAAGGGCATCAAGACTGTAAGAAAGACACCGATGGTATACGCAACCAACTCCTGAGGGGTTTGCGGTTCGCAGGTATCGGGTCAAGGCTTTGAACTTTCCCATAGGGCAACAAAGTATAATTGACACCAAGTCTTATTAAAAGGACATCACAAATGTTGTCATTTCCCTTAATAAAAGAACACCATTCAATTTATTCGCCCCAGATAGTTGGGATGATCCCGTCCCTGAATGAATTGACTGGGAAATCCATCCCCACTCTTAAAAAGTGGCTGGTTGCTCATCGAGCTCAGGAGCTCAATGTTCCTAGAAGAAATGAATTGACTCATGTTCAATATTATATATATGGCCAGCAGAACTTAGCAGAACTGCTATGCTGAGGGGTGAGGCAAGCTCCAGAAAGAATGAAGGCATTTCGAAAAACAGCGTGACTTATGGATAACACACCAAAAACTGAATAGAATTTTGAATCGCTTTCATTGATAAAATCGAAACAAAAAAGGTCATAGAGTCAGGAAAACAGAATGCGTTGATGGACCCCTTAGAGAAGAAACCATGAAGGGCGAATCCAAGTGATTACCTCGTTCTCATCTTGCTTTGACTTGACATTAACGTCGAAAAGATGCACTTTATCGTAGGTTCCGGCTATTTGGCCATTCGAGTCAATGACAATGTGTGTATTATAGATTCGGTCATCCAAGCTGTCACTAGGCTGTGATACAAGAGAAAAATGAAATCTGATATGGTGGGTTACAGAAAACGTGCTGAAATCATGAAGGAAGAGATGTAGGATCCATGTTTCTCGGTAGCTGATCAGTTGACTGTTGATCTGTTCGCCTAGGCTGACAATCGGCTTAAACACGTTTCGTCACCATCCAAAGAGACATCATTAGTGCGCGGTTGGGTGCTCACTGATGTCTCCCTGGATGGTTGCGAATCATGTGCCGTTCAGAACAGATCAACAGTAAGTTAATCAACAACCAATGAATTAACCCGAGTTATGAATATTCCAACACACTGCCAATCTGTTTCCCACTTCACATAGTGTGGCAAAGCGAGCTCCTGACAAACAGAACTAAGCCAGCCAAAATGTATGTAATTTACACCAAGATCTGTTATGAATGCAAGGCTCTGTGGCTTCAAAACCGGCTGATAATTTCGCGCCGATTAAACTTTGTCCAATGACATTTATTCTTTCTTTGGTTTGTATGATGCATGAGAAATATTAGTTTCGATGTTTGTAATACTCAGGTGAATGCACACGTATAACCGATGAGGTATGACGCGAACAAAGGTGATTCCCCGTGATTGGTTATCTTCGCTATACATATGATACGGGTAGGAAATTACGTGCGACATAAATTGCCGGGTACATATGTTAAGGGAGAAGGGATGGGTGGATGAGTGAACGAGTCACCGATTGATCACACTACAAACAAACTAGGTCGCATAAAGAGAAAGGTTCGTAAGCCAGTGTAAGTTCAAAGGCCGCACAGGTTTCTCCAAATCAATACCCGTCTACAGGCTATTATGTTACCACGGTCTAATTTGACTGTGAATTAAAAAAACTTCATTCAGTGACCGGATGATCATGTACTTTTCCCTACCCCATTGACACACTTGCCCGAGTTAGAACCTAGCCAGATGGCCAAAGTGGTTGGAGAGCGAATTTACTGACCGGAAGGTTCATGGTTCGAACCCGACCTGTGCCTTTCAACTTCCCCTGTCCAGGCTTGGGCAACCTGTCAGTATCCCAGCCCTCTTGCTTCCTTCAGGTGGAACGGCAGCTAGCCACCGAAAGGGTGCTACAGCTGGATGATTTTTAGCACCTAACCTCAGGCTAGTATCACGTACATTTTTGATGTATAAAACATGAAAAAGGTATGTTAGGCACATCCGTTCTTATCAGGACGTTCACGAGCACCTTCAATCTAAAAAGGGTGGTGCGATGGGACTAGAGCATCCAAGAGGAAGCCCTTCTACCTCAGGGTTTACGGACGCGGAGCTCGAGATAGCTCAAAGTTAATACGACAGGGCCAGACAACGTGAGCACTGCTTTGAGAATAGGTTACCGGTAAACTTAACTGGCTCTCACCTAATTCTCTCGTTCATGATATTGCTCAACTGAATGTGGTGACAATATTCGAGATATCGTGGCATATTTTCTTGACCGGATACACTACCCACAAGACCGCTAAAAACTCTTTAAGCCCTGACAACCGGGTGCACCCTTCTTGGATTCATCAGGTAGCCATACCCCCCGGTTTTAGTCAATCTTATGTTCTACCCGAACACTAAACTGTACGCCACGTGCCAATTGATGTGGTTTAACGCCAGTTATGTAAAATTTGGCGTTCAGGTTGACGGAAATTCGAGGGAATGCTAATATCTGATGACCCCATGGGTGCAATTTCCAGCAGCCTTATGAGTACCTTGTTCCGTGAAGAGTAGATGAATAGTTCAATATGGCCTCCAATGATGAAACAACATTTTTGGCAAAACAGACGATTAGGTATGAGTTGGGCGAAATATCCTCATTAATGGATTGGAGACAATCGCGAGTGACAAATTCGAAATGGTTCGTGGGATCAGAAGAAACATAGGAGTATCTATTTACTTGCCATTTGAAGTGAACAAATACGAGCCTTATTTTGATTTCACAGTAATTTATACATTCAAACTTGTTCTGCAATGAGGAAAACCTTGCGTTCTAGTAACCGCGTCTTGTACCTTTCTGTGTAGTCCACCAAGGCTCAACCAAACTTTGTTTTCTGAAGCCAGACGACGGTATTTCTCAACGAGTAGCCCATCAAGCGATTCTGCGTGTTGCAGCGTGTAGTCCCTAGTTGGTGCTATAAAGTCAAAACATTCAGGCAGGAATACCATCTGAAAGAGGGGGAGAATTAGTGGAAAGCAAGTTACTTTGGCTTCTTGAGAGGCGGCTTCGATGATGTGCTGTCGTGCAAATTCCCAGTTCTTCGTCTTATCCTCGGTAGCTTGCATTTGTAACAGTGCTATTTTAGTGGCCATTTTCTTATGACTGAAAGAAAGCAATCGGTTGACACTTCGTGAAAGAATCTGAAAGATAAACAGCAACTTGAAAGTAAACTGTCTTCGGTACAACGTTTTTACCTTTCTGCACCATCAGCAGCAGAGGAAACCCGTTTACAATGCTGTAGCTGTCTCACAAACGGGATACACAGACAGGGTAACAACTTCTGGTGGTATTGAAAAATTTAGGTGGGAATGGGTATGTAACGATCGCGGCGGCCAGTACTTTAGCAATGCCCTTTCCTGACCTCGTT